ATTTTGACCTTGTTTTTATATGTGTCTCAATTATATACATACTCACCACCTGAATACCACTTCATTGTGTTTGACAAAGATACATATTTGAATAATTAAGAAGTGTACAATGATTACTTTGTAATTTTCAACATAAATACTTTTCTTACTTTATTACCTCGATTGTTTAAAATATAATGGAAATGGATCTGAACAAAATTGTTAAGTGAAGAAAAAAGCCACCCAATGATGGTATTTACTCTAACATCCAGCAAAGTTCATCCACGAACTTGATCTTTAAAAATCAGTTGATCTTTAAGAATGTGAAAAGCCAAATATTAATACCTTCTTGTATTTATTTCAAATTACAGAGTACATTATAAGTGAATTACACACTCATAATGATAATTAATAAGCCAACTTTTACATGTTATTTTGACACTATAAATGCCTAATGCCTATAATGCATTTTAAATACAACAAACTAGTGTAACAATATAATATTCAGTATTCAATATGACGTGATGTCATAAATACTCTATACTCTATAGTTTATGCTTTTAGATTTTGTTTGTCAATGGTTTTTATGAAAKTATCATTTAAATGTTTAATTTTGACAGGTTAGGTATATCATTTTGTTACAGCTTCAAAATAAATATAAACTTCAACAAAATATTGATAATTAATATTATTCATTGAATATGTACAATAATACACATAATTTACAATTTATATTAATTTAATTTGTGATTGTTTTGTATTGTAATATCATATCATAGATAAAATTGTATATACAGGTTTGTTTTTTTAAACATGCTTATCCCCATCCTCCTCATTAATAAAACTATCAATTAAATTTTAAAAACCTCAAAAATAATTGATTTTAATACAATAAGAACTTTTTTATATTAAAGATATCAAAAAATAAAAAATAAATATTTCGCAAATAATATTCTCAACTATATTGTATATCAATTTGGAATTTTAGGCCTTGGCTATCATTACAGTCCAAGTGGTTATAGAAACAGTTTTTGATATGTAATACATTGTAGAATTTTTTTTTGAAAATTCGTTATTGATGAGAATTTGTTGTCCTACCACAGCAGGATACCATGGCTATATTTGGTCCAAAAAAGGGTACGTGGAAAAAAGTTCGGGAAACGTTGTTCTACAGGATTATGATGAAAAACTTTGTATAGTGTATAGTGTTAGTGTACAATCATAATTAATATTTTACTAAATTATTTTATATTAGTTTTACCTATATATCAGATTATCTCGATTATCTAGGCACCAATAGATAATAATTAATAACTACTTTTGTTGCACCTATACACGGACATTTTTCCGATTAGCTATATATTTTTAAATCTAATATTTGATGCACGTCAAGATTTCATTTATGGTAAATTTTTGTGCGCTCTAATTACCATGCTGAAATTACTGTGTGCAATACTGACAGTATACCCACATGGGTATATATATATAGTGTCCTCTTAATAGAGCTACCTGTGCTAAACTGTCTGTACATGTCACAGAAAAATAAAAATATTTTAAATTCACAAGACTGGTGTATTTTATTTATGTGTCTACTCTAGAATCTTCATTTATTTTTAATTAGGTACTGTACTACTCTGTCAAGTGATTTTTGAACTCTATATATCTATATTATTTTTAAAAAATGCCTGCATGTGCAGTTCTTAATTGCAGGGCAAAATTAAATGGTAAAGTTATATAATTACATTGATTTATATTACATTAGGATAGACAAATATAATGTTGATCATAAATAATAATAATATTAACAGAGAGTAATCGAATTAATGTTATAGATCAATATTAAGACTAAGGATTATTATTAGTTCTTAAAAATATCTAAATATTTATACAATTATTCAATTCAAATATTTTCTAAAAATATGTATTTTACATTCATTATTTTGAATAAAAACTATAGATTAACTTAAAGTTAATACAGTAATATTATTTTTGTACCGACAATTTTCCAAATAAGTTTTCATTTGTACAAACCAATTTTACATTTAATTGAAAAAATGTTTTATATTTTTTTAATTTATACTATACACCTCATATTTATTCTTTATATCATGTTAAAATAAATATAGACAAATTTGAACTGTTTATAAATATCATTATAATTAAAAGGACTTTTTTTTTATATAAATCTAAATGGTTTATATGAAGCTAACACACGCAGTTGTCGCAGTTTCAAATTTATAAGCATAAAAAAATAAATTATTATTTTTTATTACAACTATACAACAATAAATTAAGGTATGAGAAATATTAATACAAAAATTATAAATGTATAGTAAGTCATTTTTTATCTCTAAACAGAATTAACCAGAAATATACTGTTTTTATTTTAATTTTAGAATAAATAAAATGTAACTATTATAGATTCAGTAAGATATTTTTCATTTATAAAAAATAAAATATATTAATAAAAATGGGTTCAATTATGTGATAAACCAAACTAAATGAAAGACTTAAATATAAGCACAGGTAAATATTATAAAATTTAGACATATTACATTATAACAAAATACAATTTATATTTTCTGAAAAATAAAGTAGCACAAGTATGTTCAAAACATTTTTCAATATAAGATTATATTGAAAAATCACAAATAAAAAAACTTTTTGGATGGTCTCTAAATTATTCTAGAGTACTAAAATGTGATGCAGTTCCATCAAGTTCTGCTATCATGAAGTAAACCAATCTGTAGAAATAAAAAAAAGTTTATAATAATCTATAATACATACCTGCTATATGATTAAAAAATCATTATTTAATTATTCATTTTAAATTGTTTTTTTTATGTATCCATAGTTTGAATGATAAATTACATCAATTACAGTTGAAATTAAATAGTGTCGAGCAAGAAAATGTACGTTTGAAATCCATTATAAGAAATTATGAAGATAAATTTATTGAAAAAGCTGTACAATTATCACATCAAACACTTTTAGCGAGACTCAGATAAAAATGATCATGAATCTAAAAGGTAAAGTGAAACAATGTTCACCTGGAGATATAGCATCATAAATCGCATTGAGAAGTGTATCGCCAAAAGTCTATTGTTATGTTATATTCGTAATAAGTTGAATTATCCATTACCAGGTATTCTATAACATAAATAAGTAAAATGAATAAACCATACAATCTTATAAATGTAACTAAATAATATATACAGTAATAAAAATGTATTAACTAAAATGTAATATTAAAGGATTCAATACTTTGAGACAATATGCATCAACCTTTAATATTGAACCAGGTATTTTAACAAGTGTACTGCAAATAATGAGCACTAAATGTTTGTTGAAGTCTTAATGACTACATGTAACCCCTATTAATAGTAGTTTATCTTATGCTTAATGAAAAATAAAAATATTATATAAATAATCAAAACAAATTGCAATATTCTTAATTTAYTATTTTAATTGATAAGTATACAAGGTTACCATTTTTTATGTATTTYCAGGCTACGGTGGTACATTTTAGGTAAAACATAGTAGTGTAGTATAAACTTAGTGTAGTAAACATAGTAGTGTTGTTTTTACATCAAATGGGAATACAGAAGTAAGTCAATCTGAAGATTGCCTCATTGATTCAATTACTGTTTTTGTGAGTGACATATTGAAAGAGGCAGATATTATTTGTGAACATGAAAATAATGAAATTAATGAGACATTCATACAATTATTAGATGAATATGAACTAGATATAAGAAATAAAATTAAAAACATCAATATATTATACTTACTAAGCCATAGATTATCTTATTATACATATTATAATTATTTCTAGGTAGCTGCTCAAAATGAATACTCACCAGATGAAATATTTGAAGACGACTGTCTTATAAGTTATAGGTATACATGTTAGGTTTTATAGCAAACAAATTCCAACACAAATATCCTGAATTAGTGGACACAAATACCGATAAWTTGAATGACTGGATCAKAGCAAAATCATTTGGTACATTAACTCAACTATCAACTAAATTCGTTGGAAAAGTTATTGAAAGCTTATTTAAAAAAATGAATGGCAAAGGTAATACCATCATAACATTTTCATATAACACAAAGGTACTTAATAAAAGTTTTTTATTTTTTAGATGGCATTAAAAARTAGCAGGACTTAACTAAGCTAAGGACAATGACAAAAGATGCATGTTGACAATCAACATATATGATACATTGATACCTGATGAGGTCATGAATTCAATTATTCAAACAAGAATATTCTTTAGAATTAGAGAAATAAATAAAAAATCAAATCAAAAAGTGCATACCGTTAAAAGGAAACAAAAAGGAAAAAAATAAAAATATTTTCAAAGTAATAATATGGAATAATTTATTCCACTATTAAAATAATTAATAAGATAAATGCAAAATAAGTGACCGCGA